TATTCAATATTATTATTTATCTGCATAATTAAAGACTTTTGGAAAGGTAAATTAACATACTATATTAGTATTCGTAATTACAATTGAACTCAATACGATAAACAAAGAACAAGACTAAAAAAACGTATTTTTTGTGTGGCAAATATAGTTTTCTAAAGAAAATCAGCAAAGATGTTCAAATTGAGCACCTCCTTGTTGAATACCCAATAAACATCTTTTCCGCACATAGTTACAACGATTTATTAGGCGAACTAGAGTAATAAGTCCAAAAGCTTTCCTAGTTGCCTTCTGCAACTCTTCTCTCGTCCCAATGGTTCTTCCCTTATAGATAAGGTCTTTTAATTTCCCCCATAAAAAAGTTGAAAGGAGTTAAATTACAGGACCTAGCAGGCCTAGATATGGGGGCCAAGATATCTTTGTTCTAATCCAATCCAAGGGCTCTTTGTTCCAATCCAATTCTGTCCATTTAATAGTACAGTTGTAACCCTGGCCTTTTAATTGTATATGGTAATATACTAATATAGAATGTTGATTTACCTTTTCAAAGGACTTTAATTATGCAGATAAATAATAATATACAATATTAAATTGCGATAAAAAAGAATTAGATTCATTAGATCAACACAAAACAAGACCCGCTTCGACACAAAGATAAAAAACGTAATATTTCTCTCATTTTTAGAATTAAATACACATAACTTTATATCGTTAAAAAGGGTTAAACGCCAGCATTTTTTTAAGTTCATAGCCAACTATGATTTCCATTTAAAAAATTATATTTTTTATTATTTCTGAGAAAAAAAGCAAGTATAGAAAAAAACTGACTACGCCACTGGATTGTGCTTAAAAGAGTGCCTTAAGAACGTTTTTACAGAATTTTATTATTCCGCGAAATACAAAAGTTATGGGCAATTTTCCAAATGGTAAAAAATTAAAAAAGACCCCGTATCTCAGTCAGCAGCGAAAATATCAATAGGCGATTTACGCCATTAAACGTGTCTCAGAAATCGAGCCCATGACATCTATGTCGGTTTTGCTCTATCTAGTCAGGAAATAGGTTTTCTCTGTTGAAACAGACCAATTTCGACCACCCTGTACATTACTTTCGTTTTTGCTAAATTCATTTTGAGACTCACTTTATTGCTGGCTTTACTTAGTTTATTAATTTATGCTTGTAGTTCTTCAGAACTATTGGCAGTTTGGACTGTGTCATCAGCAAATCTTAGATGGTTAAGATATTCTCCATCTATTTTTAATCCTTTGTTGACTCGAGTTATGACATTATTTAATCTTATTATTTGATTGACACTTTCCGGAATAGTATATGATTTTCTGCGATCCGGGACAACTAACCCAAACGACTGGCAACCCCGGATGACCCCCAAATTTGGGACGCGCTGTACAATGTAAACTGAACAATAAATAATCTTTTATATTATGTTCTTAGAGTTAAATACGATTTTAAGAAAGAAAACAAAGAAAACGGTAGGTATATGACAGTTTTATAAATTAGCTATATTTTTAGAGAACACTTATTTAGAGTTATTAGGTTTGTTCCAACATAGCAGAGAACCATTCTTGGTATGGTTACGCTTAAGCGCTGTAGACGAAATGCGTTCCATCAACGAGAGAATCGTTTACGAACGTAACGTGTTAAGACTGTGTCTGCTGATTATTGTTTTTCTTTATTTCTTTGGCTAGTTTCTGTTTTTAATTTGCTAATTCTTCAAGTTTTATTTGGTATTTATTATTTTGATACCTATTTTAAATAAACATTTTTATATTTTTGTAGGTATTACTAAATATGATTAGTGACGAAGAGAACAGTGGTACTGAGTACGTGGATACCACTGAAGATTATTTGAAACATTTGTTAAATAAAGCATAAGTTGATTTTGTATTAATTAAAAGTAAATAAATTCAATAATCCGTAAATAAAACCATTAAAATACAAAATGCGAAATTTATATCAAAAATATATTTAACTCTTGATCTAGTCTCCACTAATAATTGAGAATTAGATTTTCATTCTAAAATCAGTTCAAAAACCAGTCGAACCCGCATGTAATTTTGGTATAGTAAGAGCACTTTCAAGTAGACACATGCTCACAAATCTGATGTCGGCAATCGGTTCTAATTACGGTTCTAGAAGGTTACACATTTCTGTGCTCGAACAAACCTATTATCTGAGAAGTAACCCAAATTGACAGGTATGCAATAAAATTAAACGTTTTATTATCAATCTCGATTTGGCTGTCTTGTTTGCCTTAATTTATGGCATAATAAATAGAGAAAAAAACTTGGAAATCAGTCTAAATTTTTTAAAAGTGTTTCATAACACATGTTTTTCGCAGACTTAACGGAAAAAACAAATTAGTTAAAATCGACTTGAAGCGAGTTAAGACCGTTTTTTATTATGCTTCATTTATACAAGTAGACAGTAACATAAATATACATTTTGGTTTTAGGCACCGTTAGTAAGTTAGTCACGTTTTTAAAACAATACAATTAGTTAAATTGTCATTATTTTTTCATTCTAGTACTATTATACGCGTCCATTCATAACAGTCTTTGTTCGCAAGACATGAACCAGAGTTGGAAAAATTCATGATTTTTTAAAAAAAATAAAAAAAAAAACGGATTTTTTTGATTTAAATCAGATTTTTTTTTATTTAAATCAGATTTTTTTGATTTTAATTCAAAACGATATTGAAATCGGATTTCCAAATGACTGTGACTTATTTCCAATAATTAAAGTCCTATCCTAAATGGCTAAATCTTTATAACTCTGACCGATACCGATAACATTAACAATTCTACAGCGCGTGTCATTTTTCCACATCGGTCACCAGTATATTCCGCAAAAAAAGTCGCTCGCTTCAGATCAAAAGGATTTTTTTTTCAAACGTCTCAAAAGTATTAATTTTTGTCATTTTAACGACTAGGCATAAAAGTAAAGCACTGTTACGCCCAAGCACAAAAGTACAAAAATATATTATTAAACTGATATTAAGTGTCAAATTCAACGAGTGTATAAATTGTTTCTCGATTACTGTTTGTATTATTTGCAATGTTTGAAATTGATTAAAAAATTATTTGTAATGTTTTGAAAAAATAGTGTTTTATTCGGAGTAAAAATGTACTTTTTGTGCCTCCTTGTAACGTCGGAACAGCTTTACGATGGTCCTACAAATGTACATCATCCTCAAAAAAGTATAATTTCTACTCTTAATAAAGCAATACCTGTTGTTCGGAAATAGTCTTAAGTCGAGAATAAAATTAGTATTATCTAATGTCAAAGTGTAAAGTACTTACTGCAAATCAAAATGTCTTAAGGTAAAAATTTGGAAACATACCAACGTTTCAAAAAAAAATATATAAAACAACATATTTTCTGACAACGATTATAGATTTTCGGGAATGAAGATATAGTCTCTATATCAGAAGAACCTAGTTCTGCACTAGTCTGCGAATGATATGAATTGGAACAGCGAATTTTTGATTCACACGAAATTACTTCAAAAATCGGTTCAACATTTAAATTGATTAATATTTATTTTTTATGGTTTTATTAAATTTACAATTATTTTTCGATTTATTATCTGTTATATCTGTTATAGAAATATTTTTTATAGTTTTCTAGGACAGATTTTTATAACTTTTACAGTGATTTTTTGATTAATTATAAAGTTTCAATAAAATTATTATTTTTGATTTAAATCACATGATTAAAATTAAAAAAATCACTTGATTTAAATCATGCCAACCCTGACATGAACAACTTTTTTCTTTCAACTAAAATACATATTTCATTCTTATTTCACTAATTTTTAGCCTAGTGTCAGAGTACACAGAGTAAACAAACTAACTATTCAAACATCTAGTTATTTTAATCGAAAAAACATTCCAAATTTTTACTAAAATAGCTACAACATTTGTTTGGTTTATATACTATCCAGGTAGTGTAAAAAGTACTAGACAAAATTAGTTGCCAAAATGTAGGGGTTCTATACAAGTTCTATACAATCTGCAGATGGTTTATCCGAACTCCCGAACTAACATTATAGAGATTTGTTCTAAGCACTTTTATAACATTTTCTGCTGAGAAAGAAAATGTTTCCATCCAAAAAAGAAGAAAGTAAATAAATTTATTTGTTGCAAGAATGTGTGAGTGGATATAAAGTGTATTATATTTAAAATGAATCAATCGAATTTTAATTATTTACATTTACGCTAACTCTAAGTAGTATCGTACGATCAAAATACTCATAATCGATCTTCTAGCTCAATACGTTATAACTTAATCCATTTGGGAAATCCAACGCCTGATCGAGTATAAAACTAATAAAAGGTACTTATTTCATACTTTTACACACTTCATTTTTCTATCTATATTTCTATTAACAAAAGTTTGTGGTTATTTACTTACACTCTCTGTAGAAATACCTTCGACTATAATAGGAGACTAATAAACAAAGACGATAATAATATGTATATGATTTTTGTTTTATTCTATTACTAAAAATTATATTATGTATTTTATAAAATTACATTATATTGTTTTTTTTTTAATTTTTTGATATCCTTTCGGCAGTTCGGCATGTTGATAAAGTTTTGTTGCCCTGGAAATGTTGTTTCCATATATGTCCGGATTTACCCGGACATTTTTTATAGTGTCCGGGGTTATGAGGGGATGAAAACCGTACATTATTTCAATATCCAGTCAACTACCCCGGACACCATAAAATCCGAACATGTCCTGGTAGATTCGGACGTATGGAAATCTTATCTGGAAATATACTGTGAATTTTTCATTATAGTAAGTAATGTTTATCCCAAAAAATTAACCTGCATGTCTGCATTCCCAGTTAATTTTTAGTCATAAGTAAATAATTTCTTTCATTTAGCATTTGTTTCTGTGAAGACAATCGCAAGGGGAATCAAGATGGAATTTATTGTTTAAATATAAAATAATTTATAAGAATATATAATATTTTTACCTGGAGGTAACACAGAAGATCCCTTCTGCGTCAGAGTATTAAATTTCTTATTGGTAGATTTGGTTGATTCGGTAGCACTTGAAGATCTGGTACGACTTGTAGGTTGGATATCAGTTGCTTCCGTGCTATTAGCCAGTTTTTCTTTTTCTCTGATCAATTTGAAGCGACTGAAAAAAAGAAATGGAATTTAAAAAACTTGATGAAAATGAACACTATTTTATTTTTCAACTTCAATTTATATAGTCTATGTCCAGTTTAAAACTTGATTCCAAATAAAACTTATTATTGGAAAATTGAAAAATGATACCTTAATATCAAATATTTCACTGGTTAATTCAAGAGCAAAAATTATAATTTCTGCAGTATGATGTAATTTCAATCAACTATTTTAACAATAGATAATGTAAGTAATAATAACAAATAGTGACAAAGATGATATGCAAGAAACGAAGAAAATCTACTGAAAAATACAGAGAATGGGGCTTGACAGTTAACTTTATCTATATACAGGGTGGTCCGAATTGTATTCCGGAAACTTCGGGAGCATATTCTGCAGATAAAAAGAAGTAAAACACTTCTTATAAATGTATATCCTAAAATGTTTAGTTTCGGAGATACAGGGTGTAGAATTTTCATTTTTATTTCGATTTTTTCCGTCGAAGTAACGTCAATATTTGGATGAAAATTGGTGTCATTATGACTCCTATTTGTAGAGGGCGCCACCTACATGTGTTTAAACTGTTTTGAAGAGTAATAACTTTTTGTCCGTACCTGTATAGAACTGCTGAGTGCAAAAATATACATTTTCGTATTTTTCTACGTAAAAAATGTCTCTTGGTAAAAATCGTAAATTTTTCTTCGAAAATATGATGATTGATGATGGTTTGGCACAAAAACATTTCAAATTTATGATTTCCATCTATTAACTATTTAGTCAACATGTTTAATTTATGTGAATGATGACAGGTATTGATAATTTCGATTTCAAATATCTCGAGAACTATTACTCGTAGCGATTTTTATTAAGAGATCTTTTTTACGTTAAAAACGTCGTAAATGTATATTTTTTAATTAGTAGTTTTATACAGGTACGGACGAAAAGTTATTACTCTTCAAACCAGTTAAAAATATGTAGGTGGTGCCCTCTACAAGTAGGAGCCATATTGACATCAAAATCAAATTTCTCATATCAAAAAACTCCCAGACACCAAATTTCGTCCAAATGTTGATGTTACTTCAGAAATTATTTGGAAAAAGTCGAAATAAAAATGAAACTTCTACACCCTGTATCTCCGAAACTAAGCATTTTAGGTCATACATTTATACGAACTTTTTTACTTATTTTTATCTGCAGAATATGCTGCTGAAGTTTCCGAAAAACAGTTCGGACCACCCTGTATACGCGCACAAGAAGGAAATTTGAACTTAAACAACGGTCAAGAATTTATACAATGTCAAGAATATGAATACCTGGGAGTCCATTTGATAACACCGGAATTGATGGTATAGAAATGGAAAAAAGGATTATCAACGCGAAAAAAATAATTGAATGTCTAAATGAAATCTTATGGAGCAAATCAGTAACAAAACGAAGAAAGTTCACTATCTATGAAACCATGATAAAGCGAGCAACCTCTCATATGGAGCAGACACATGGAGAATAACCCAGAAATACAAGAACAGGAAAGATGCATTAGAAATGGATGCTTTTAGAAGATCAAATGGAATTTCCCGACAACAAAGAATAAGGCGTTATACAGTAAAACAACAAATTTATATAGATGGCACAATAACATAGTATATAGAGATGAAGCAGCTGATTTGGTATGGACATGTAGAGCGAATGAAAAATACAAGATGGCCCAAGAAAATAATGAATTTGGAAACAACAGGCAGAGGGAAACAGGGGAGACCGAGACTGGAATGTTAAAAAAGCTTATGTGAACAGAGATGCGCTTTGGGCAATTATGAAAAAGTTCGGAGTACCCAACACATTTCTTACAGTGTGTAAAAGCCTCCATAACAACAACAAGTCAAGAGTGTCACATCATGGATCACTGAGCGACCCATTCCTAACAAATACAGGAGTTAGGCAGGGATATGTGCCTTAGCGTCTCTCCTATTCAATGGATGTTGAAAATTTAAAATATTCATGGCAGCGCTCTCCATTGTAGTGGACAGCAAACTGCAGGAGAGAGGATTGGGCATTAGATACTGATATGACGGCGGTCTGTTCAACATAAAAAGACTCAGGGCAAAAACACGTACAAAATTTATCACAGAACTTCAATACGCTGACGACTGTGCTCTAGTTGCAAACACGGTACAGCAATTACAAGAGATGTTGAACACATATACCTGGGCATACGAGGCTTTGGGCCTTAAGCTAAACATCGACAAAACTAAAATCATGTGCACTCCCCCGGAAGATCACAACCATGCTATAAAAATCTGAGAAGAACTATTGGAATATGTGGCGGAATTCAATTACCTTGGCAGTTTGATTTCGGAAAAGGCCAATATTGACTCTGAAATTCAGCACAGGATTAGTAGCGCCTCAAGAGCATTCTGGAAATTAAAAGACAGGGTTTTCTACAATCATGACTTGAGTACAAAAACAAAACTTGCAGTGTACCGAGCAATTATAATCCCCACCATGTTATATGAGAGCGAAACCTGGGTGCCGTACCGCCGACACATGAACGCATTAAACAAGTTGCAACAGAGATACCTTAGACAGCTCTTAAGAGTCCGGTGGTTCCATCATGTCTCAAACGTATCGGTCCTTGAAAAAACTAACTGCGAGAGTATTGAAGTCATGGTCACAAAATCCCGCTTAAGATGGACTGGTCACGTATGCAGAATCCAAGAAAACCGCATACCAAAATCTCTGCTTTACGAAGAGCTTGTAGACGGTAAGAGGAGGCCGGGTGGACGGTACAAGGACATTTTCCTCGAAAACTTAAAGGGAATTAACATGCAGAATGAGTGGGAAACAGCAGCTCAAAATAGAACTCAATGGAGAAGAGTTGTAACCTCAGTTAACAGCGGCAACCAAAAAGTAAAGAGGCAACAAAGCAATGAGATTTTTGAATGTCCGGAGTGCGGTAGGCAGATAACATCAGGTATCGGGCTTTTCAGTCACAGAAAAGCTCATGAAAGAAAATCGCCTTGCGTGACCATCTTCTTTATGTGTGTCGAATACTCAGCGAGTAACGGCTGTATATGTATGTATGTAAAAAGGCTTATAAAAATCTATGACTGAAAGAAACCTCTCAACAGATGATTGTATGAATAAAAAGGGCTAGAAATTGGGTGTCGGATAACGACGAAAAACTTTTTTAACAGTTCTTATTAAAATATTTTATTTTGGAGGTGACTTTTCCAGAAAATATTATAGAAATAGTTAGTTCATTATATTAGTTGATAGTTGTTCAGGTGCAACATCAATTTCTAATATAAAATCCCTATCGTTTAAATAACAGAAATGGTAAACAGGTAACGACAATTACATATTTGTTATAAAATGGTGGGTATTCGTTTGCAGTGTTTAAAGATAAAAAAAAATAGTTGACGCAAGTAAGATATCTTAGCACGGTACTTAAAAGCCATATCGTTCCTCAAGTTAACCGACAATTGACGTAAGCGAATTATTTCTGATTTTTCTCCTCGACTGTTGTTATCGGAAAACTAACGTTACGTAAAAAACAATAAAAATTACAATAAAATGATTAGTTTAAATGGCGACAGTCGACGTACGCTCGCTTTTTTATTATGTATTTTCAATTTTTTTTCTCTGAAATTTTATTACCGATTGTTGGTCGCAGGAAAAAAACAAGACTAGCATGGCAGTGCCGGAGTAAGGATATATTTTAGTTAGAATCCGACAAAATATGTTTTAGTACGCAAGATAAAAGAAAAAAAAATAAAATCAAAAGTATTTTTCAAAGAGGAAACTGATTTTTTATTAATTGTTACTAAATTTTGTTGTAATAAACCCGTCATAAAGAGTCCATTAAGTATTACTAAAATGTGTGATAATAATCGACTTAAACTATCGAAGTGGTGGATGATAGGTTTGGTTAGGGACCCTGTTGAATATTTCACTTGGAGGCCTTGGGCCCATTGCGATATCTTCGTATTATTGTATCAAACCTCTTTTTTTCTCTCATTCTTTCTCTAATTTTTCCTCCTCCTTTCTCTCATTCTTTCATTGCGGTAAAACACTCCCTGCTCTTTGCAAATCTCCTGATGTCGCTGATATTGGCTTCTGTTTCTTCCTCTAGTCCCTCCAAAAAACCGTACCCTAAAGGTTTAAAGCATCTGTTTTCCAGTTCCGGACAGTGGCCACAGCAGGTACTCTATGGTTTCTTCTTCCTCTTCGCATTCTCTGCAATAGTCGTCGCGTCGTTGGAAATCTCCCACTTCACGAGATTTACTCCTGTGGGGCAGTTTTCAGTGACGACACCTACAATTATGCGTACTAAATTCTTTTTATGCTCTAGTAGTCGTTTCGTCTTTTTGTTATCTACCAGTGGTCACAGTCTTCGAGCTGTGGCGCTGAGTGTAGCGCAGTCCTCACGGTGTAACCATGTCTCTTGCTGCTTGGCCTTGATGGTGGTTTCTATCGCTTTCTTTAGTGAACTGATCAAGTGGTCACAAGTGGTGGGCCATCTTCTACGGCCTCTCCTCTGGCCCCCTCTTTGGCGAGTCTGTCCGCTTCTTGGTTGCCCACCATATTGCTGTGGTCTGGCACCCAGCATAAAGTGGCCCCGACTTGACGCAGCCAAAAGACAGTGCTTTTCAGCAGTCCATCACAGTTTTCGATCTCACTGATTGCATGGTTCTCCTTAAAGCGCCCAAGCTGTCAGATTATATCACGATATCTCCTATTGGTCTATCAATGATTTTTCCTCGTATACAACTGGCCGCTTCCTTTATACCGAAGTGATGGAAATATTTAGACATAATGAGTCGTTTATGCTACTAACCTTTCGGACATTTCAACCTGTCTATCTTTTGTGAAAGATTCTGATCTATAGATGACTCAGTATTGTATTGACTAAGAGTGGGTCCCAGGTGGTACCCTCCACTGCGGCCGCGAGGGCCTATTGTGGCTCAGTTTCTACAAGCTCTTTAATAGAAAATGAGTATTAAAGTTCACCCT